GGGCAGGGCATCCCCTATGACAGCATCGACACAGCTGTCTGGTGGGAACCCACAGGCCACACCTTCTTCTTCCGTGGGGACAGGTCAGTGTCTGTGTGATCCTTCTCCCTGCTCTGCTTGGTCTGGGCCCTGGCAGGGGTGGTCATGGCAGGTGTCGCAGAGCCCTATGCTCCTCGTCTGCTCACCACCAATCTCCCCAGATACTGGCGCTTTAACGAGGACACCCGTGCCGTGGACCCTGGGTACCCGAAGCCTATCTCCGTCTGGGTGGGCATACCACCCTCACCTAAAGGCGCCTTCCTCAGCCCAGATGCGTGTAAGTAGAGGAGAAGAGGGGTGGGATGGGACCAGAGGGGATGGGGTCACCCGTTTGGTGGCCTGACCACAAGGGATGGAGGCTTGTGAGGGTGCCTGGGAATCAGTGGTGAAGCCCTTGCTGAAGGGCTTCATTAGTCCCAGAGCAAAACCTGCTGTCCTGGGCATCTGCAGGGGTGAACCTGCCCATTTACCCCTCACCTTCATCTTCTCCCCCCTCCCAGCCTCCACCTACTTCTACAGAGGCACAAAGTACTGGAAATTCGACAATGAGCGGCTCAAGACGGAGCCGGGTTATCCCAAGTCCATTCTGCGTGACTTCATGGGCTGTCACACAGAGCTGGTCCCAGACCCCCATCCCCACTGGCCTGGTGGGGACCAGCCCCCCTTCAACCCTGATGGGGACGGGCAGGCTGAAGGCAATGAGGAGGAAGAGGAGGAGGAGGAAGAGGATTATGGTGAGGGTGGCCACAAGCCGGGCAGGGACGTGGATGTGGTGGTGCAGATTGATGAGTACACGCGCACCATGAGTGTGGTCATGGTGCTGGTGCTGCTGGTGCTGCTGCTGTGCATCCTCGGCCTCATCTATGTCATCGTCCAGATGCAGAGGAAGGGCACCCCACGGATGCTCTTGTACTGCAAGCGCTCCCTGCAGGAGTGGGTCTGATCCTGCTCCTCCCCAGACCTCCCCACCACCATGGTGCTAACGACAAACCTGACTGCCCCTCCCCTTGTCCTTCCCCACAGCCTCAGTCCTGCTGCCCCCTTGTTGCTTGATGCTCCTCCAGCCTCACAAAAGAGGGGATGTGTTGTGTCCCCCTCCAGGTTGGGAACAGGGGATGGTCATGGAGCTGGAGACCATCCACCTGCCTGTGCCCCCCTGGACTGCGCCCCTCAGGTTGCCTCCGTCATGCTGTGGCTGTGCCGCATGGCGGGAGCAGGCTGGGGCTGCTCACATGTGCTGCGAGCTTCCTGCCAGCACTGCACTGGCCAGGAAGCATGAGGGGAAGGGGGATTGCAAGCTCACAGATGTGTTTCTTCTTGAACCATGGGGATACAGAATGTGCCTAAAGATGACGTGAGGGGGGCAAGATGCCACCTTTGCAGCCCCTCTTTGGGCTCAACTCATCCTGGGCCTTGCCAGGACACAGGGTCCTGTGGGCATGGCCACCTTGTACGTGTATTAAATGGGTTGGGTGTGTGGAGAGCCATGGTGTGTCCTTTCTGGGGGACAAACAGATTTGGGGGCAATGGGGGGCTTGGCTGGGGGCTGGGTGCCATGGGGAGATGTGGGGAGAGTGGCCACTGATGTCCTTGCAGCAGCACCCACCCTGGAGCTACCACTCCTGGGGCAGTCAGTGGAAGCAGCTCCCCCAGCAGCGAACAGAGCCGCCTTTCACCAGCTCCCACGGCAGCGGAATGTTGCTAGAACACAGCATGCCTTGTTCTCCCCCAGACGGGTGCCTCAGCCCCAGGATGGCCACAGCCATTCCCTGCGCAGTGCATGGTGCATGGTCCCTCCTCGAGCAGGTTCAGTGGGTGCTTCAGCTCCTGGACCCTGCAGCTGCAGAGAGCCAGGGAATGAGCAGTGGAGTGGGAAAGGTCAGACCGAGGTGGGAGACAGGGATAGGGAATTGGCTTTACCCAGGGAAAAATGTTGCTCAGCCTTGATAGGATGGAAAACCAAACTGCAGAGGCCTGTGGTGGTGGTGGAGATATGCTTCCCTGGCTCTGCTGGTGCTCACCGAGGTGGTGAGCTGGGGCTAGGGCTCTGTAGCCATGGGGTGGGCAGCAGAGGCCTGGCGCAGTTGATGCATGGGTGGTGTGGGTCTGACATATCCCTGTGAGCACTGACCCTATGGAGGGGGTGTCTCCTGATGGGACTCGATTCCAGCCACTGTCGTCTTCCACAGGCTTCTCCAGCTTTACCCTCAGTAGGATGGGGCCAGCATACAGGCCTGGCCTCGCCTCTTCCCCATGGAACTTGGTGCAAGGATCTGACCTGGAATTGCCCAGAGGAGCTGTGGTTGCACCATCACTGGCAGTGTTCAAGGCCAGCTTGGACAAGGCTTGGAGCAACCTGGTCTAGTGGAAGGTGTCCCTGCCCATGGCACAGTCTGGAAATGGATGAGCTTTAAGGTCCCTTCCAATCCAAACCAGCCTGGGATTCTATAACCTGCTCCCGGCCATCCCCACACTGCCAGCCCTGGTGCAAGGGAATCCCCCACTTCGAGGGTGAGAGGAATCCTTTGTGCCCTCTCTGTCCTTCCCCCTCCATGATCCAGAGCTGCTGGCTCAGTGCCCAACTCAGCTACAGGCACTTCCCATCACTAAATTACCCTGAGCCACTCATCAACAGCTAATTACTTTAAAAGGGAAGGATCAATCCCGTCTCCTGCCTGCCTTTCCTGGAGCTGCTGGCGCTGTGGGCCACCATCCCTTCCCACCCTGGGCAGCAATTCCAGCCACTAGCAGACTCCCCGGGAAACATGCTTGGCTCTGACTTGACACATCACTGCAGCCAAGTGAAAGGCAAACCCAGGGACAGCAAAACCCTGAAGAATTGTGGGGGAGTTCTCCAGGTCTCCATCTGGATTGTGTTCCATCAGCCTGGCCATGCTGGGTCACATTCCTTAGCTTTTAATGCACTCCTATTCGGTTTTGACCATTCTGTCCCGATTCATGCCTGTGTGGGTCCTCCCCAGAGCCCTGCCACAGGGCAGCCCCACACCCAGCCTGCCCAAACCAGGAACAAACCTGCACCAGGAGCAACCACACGGCATGGACCTGGCCCCAGAACAAAGACAGAGGAAAGCATTGCCGGGATTTGCCACTGCCAGCCCCCTCAGAGGAGCTCGAGTGCATTTCCCTCGGCACATGCATTTCCCACAATAGATGCACTTCCCAAGGCAGATGCATTTCCGGCAACAGCTCTATTGCCCACAGCAGCTGTGTTGTCCCTGCCTCCCAGGGGTGCAGGGCTCACAAGGAAAGCTGGCCCAGGGTGCACTGGGCCATGTGTGGCATCCCCTTCCCTGGGCACAGAGTGGGCACCTTGCTGATTCAGGGTGAGACGGGGGCCAGGAGCAATTCTCCAGGGGGTAATCGGCAGCACTTGGAGCAGAGGCCCAGGCTGCAGGAGAGCGGGGACATGACTTCCCACCCCCCTCCTGCTTTTCCCCAGATGCTGCAGCAGTGCCAGGAGCTTCGGGGCCATCTGGAATCGTTCATGGACAGCAGCAAGGGACCCCGCGGGAGACAGCCCAGCACTGTGACAGTGCTGGAGGCTCCTGCTCTGCCCACAGCAGGGTCACCTCTGACACCCATGGATGCAGCATTCCGGAGGGCAGGGATGCACTTGCAGCAGGGCACAGCACTTTTGGTGTCTCAGGGGAATGTGAGTCCCACTCAGCCTGGCCCTGGCAGCCCTACCAAATCCACCATGAGCGCCCAGCTTCCCAAAAATAGGTTACAGAAGCCCAGCCTAGAAAAAAACCCTGGAAAAGAGACAGTGTCTTCCAGGCAGAGTGGTGCTCCACACACCACTGGAGCATGGGTGATGGGGTGACCAGGGCTGCCAGGAGTTTCCTCTGCCTCCTTGGTCCCATCACAAGAAAAAATGTGTGTCCTCCTGCCTCCTCCTCTTCTTCTTCTGCAAGCCAGGGCATGAACCCTGTATGCAGCTGAGGAGAGGACCCGGAAAGCACGGAGGAAGCCGGACTCTGTGCGGAGGAAGAACCGGGGCTGGCCTACGCCAGGCAGCGACCGGCAGCCTCAAGGCTGGAGGAAACGCTGCTGGGGATGGAGCGATGAGCAGCGGGGCCCCGGGAGGGGTCAGACCTGCTGCCTGTGCCTGCTGCAGCATGACTGAGTTGCTGGGACTGCTGGACAGGTGCCAGTGTCAGCATAGCCCTGCTGCAGGGGAACATGACTGCCACCGAACCTGGCACAGCAAGCCTGGCACAGCAAGTTTGGCACACACGTGCTCTGCTTATGCCCATCTCCTCCCCATATGCACCCCCCAGGGAAGCCACCAGCCTCCTTTTGTCTCACAGGGAGGAAAGTAATTTCTGGGGCCTCAGGGCCAGCACAGGATGTGACACTGGAGCGGATGCTCTGCAGGTCTGTTTCAGTACAACACAGCATCCACCCTCTTACGTCTAGCGGCTCCGAGTCTTTCCCCATACCATTCCAGGGCACCTCTCAGCACACAGCTGCTCCCTCATCCACATAAAACCTGGTTTGAGCGATCCCATTTTGCAGGCTGCCAGGGGAAGCTTCACCCCTCTCCTGCAGGCACCAGATCATCTCTCGTGCATGCAGAAGGGGCCAAAGTCCCCACTATGGTCACTTTTATCCTGGGCAGTGGCCAATGGCAAAACTCGAACTCAGTATTTTCCCTTGCCTCCAGCAGTACTTGCATTATGCAGAGAATTAGCATCACCCTGGAGGTGCAACCCTTCAACACAGATGACTACATCTGGCCCCAGCCATCCATGGAGATGCAGGAAGGGAGGAAGAGAGGGCAAGGGGCAGTAGGGCTCAGATTTTTTTGATTCCTGCCTATTACCTCTGTGATCAGAGCTCTGTGCTTTGTGTCAGGATCCACTTAGTAGGAAGGAGACAGAGAGAGAGGATG